GTTTGTGCCTCGCTGTCCCCTGGCTCTCTGTCCCCTTTACAGGGGGGTGTTTGTGCCTCGCTGTCCCCCCGTGCCCCCCGTGGGACTCTCCCGGGCTGTCCCGAGGGGACCCCCGAGCCCCCTCCTGCTGCCGGGGGGTTTCTCCATCCCCCACGGGAGCGGACTCTGTGCGGCCCCCCTGGGTCTGTGGGGCAGCTCCTGCCATGAAGAGCGAGAGCCAAGTGCAAACTTCCCTGTAAAAATCAGAGTGATCCTCCCCCAAATCCAGCTCAAGGTTTGGGGAAGTTTTAGGGGCTGAAAATGCCACGGTAAAACGGGAAAACCTGTTTCGGTGGCAGCTCCAGCCCCACCCCTGGGTCTGGAGTTTGGGTGGTGCAGGTCCCGAGCAGGTTGTACACAACAGCCAAGCAAGGAAATGCTGCTGGACAGCGATAATTTATTTGGAATTAACTAAACGTTAATTCTGAGGGTGGCTGAGGCTGGGGTGGGGCTGTGTGGGGAGGGATGGCGCAGGTTTTGGGCTGAGGGGGACAGGCAGGAGGATGGGGGGAGAGCTGCAGTCTGTGTCCAGCCTGGGGCCCAAGTGCTGGACTTGCTGAAACTGTGGAGTCAGGAACATCCTGCTCACCCAGCTCTCTCCTGCTGGGTCTGTGTATGGCCACTGGCCTGGAGGGGTTTCTGCCCAGGAGCTGCAGACCAACCAGTGTCCCCAGCCAAGGGGCTTGGAGCACTCTGGGCTACTGGAAGGTGACCCTGCCCATGGCAGGGGGTGGAACAGGATGAGTTTCAGGGTTCCTCCCAACCCAAACCTTCTGGGATTCCATGATTCCATGAGCTTGAGGTGCTGTAGCAGTTCAGGGGTGCTGCCATTGCACCCCTGGTTTTGCAACTCTGCAACCAGCTCTGGAGGGAGCAGAGACCCCTCGACACGTGGCCTGGGCTGGGGTCACTGCCCAAACCCACCAGCCTATGCTCGTGCCCCCCTCTGCCCATCTCCGAAGAGCCCCATCAGAGGGCACCTACCCACCCCACCAGCACACTCAGGGCTGAACTTGTTTGCTTTGGACACTTCACTCCAAGGAGAGATTCAAAATTAGCAAGTAAGCCCTGGCTCAGAGCTGGAATCATCCTGAGGCTCCGGAGGCTCCACTGGAATTGTCCTGAGGCTCATCTGGAATCTTCTGAGGTTCTGCTGGAATCTTCTGAGGCTCGTTACTCAGCTCTCCCTGTTGGGCTCACAGCTACTCTGCAGGTAAACAAGGCAAAGTGCCTCTTTCCTTGGGGCTCCTCCATGGAGGAACCTGGGGGTGGATGAATTCTGGTCCAGGAGTTGTCCTGAGCCACCCCTGCCCCTCCCCACCCCTGCCCCTCCCCACCCCTGCCCCTTCCCACCCCTGCCCCTTCCCACCACCGCCTCGTGCACCTTCATAATGGGCTCTTGTCCACCCTCACATGGTGCTGGGGCAAATGTTGTCCCCTAAACTGGCCAAAACCCAAGACCCTCCCAACTAGTTGGGACTTGCCCCAGTGCTGGTTTCTCACTGGTGTTGGGTCTGCAGGGAGCAGAGCCCTCCCTTCACTGAGCTCTGGCTGAGGCAGTGGGAGTTTTCCAAGAGAAACCACAGGATGTGGAGGGCACATCCTGACCACCACCAGTGGGATGGGCCAACAGAAACCTCGTGAGTTCATCCAGGGGAAGGGAAAAGTCCTGCCAGGACTGGGGGACCAGCACAGGACCAGCTGCCTGGAAAAGCAGCTTGGCGGAGAAGGCCCTGGTGCACACCAGGCTGAGCCTGAGCAAAGGTGTCAGCAGGAGCATTGCCACCAGGTAGAGGGGGGTGATCCTTCCCCTCTGCCACCCCTGGAGCTCTGGGTCCAGTGCTGGGCTCCTCAGTGTGAGAGAGACATGGGCACACTGGGCATGGCATGGACAGACAGTGACAGGAAGAGGGGAAATGGCTTTACACTGAAGAGGAGAGATTTTAATTAGATTTTGGGAAGAAATTCCTCCCTGTGAGGGTGGGGTGGGCCTGGCCCAGGTTGCCCAGAGAAGCTGTGGCTGCCCCTGGATCCCTGGAAGTGTCCAAGGCTAGATTGGACAGAGATGGGAACAAGCTGGGCTAGTGGAAGGTGTCCCTGCCCATGGCAGGGGGACTGGACAATCTTTAAAGTCCCTCCCAACCCAAACAAGTCTGTGGTTCTGTGATTTCCAAGTGGTGTGTTGGAAGAGAGGAGTGCACTGGCCAAAGGGACAGTTGCCCAGCACCTTCTGCCCTGGCCCCTTGGTTTCCTGTCCATAAGCTGTTGCCATGTCACCAGCTAGACACAGAAGGTCTAGCTTCCCTTTCCAGTCACTGCAGAGAGAGCAGAGATGGACCTTTCTGGGGGATAACTCCTTGTACTCAACTTCACACCTATTCTGGGATGGGAGAACTCTTTTTGTGGCCGTGCCTCCCTCCCTGAGCCTCTGCCCTGCCTTTAGCAGCCCGTGAGCCTGAGTCCTGCCAGCTGCCCCAGCAGTCTGAGGGTCCCCTCCTGGATCTGCTTCACCTTTATGCCATAAACGAGGGGGCTGAGCGTGGGAGGGACAGTCAGACACCAGCCAGCCACCAGGACTTGGACGTGAGGTGTCAGGTCAGAGGGGAACATCTGCAGGTACATGGGGAGGGCCAAGCTACATCTTTGTCCCCAGCTGCAGCTCCCTGGAGCAATGACAGAAACATTGGGGGCTGCTGTTGGTGTGACTGCAAACCTGTGCCCACAGCAGGTCTCCAGCACCATGGAATTTTGCTGTTTATTTTGGGAAAAGCTTTCAGAACTTGTTATCTACAGCCAGGCTTTTGAACAGTGCGGTCAGTGCCTTCAAGGGGACACATCACTGACAGCCCTGGCTGTCCCATGGGCTGCATGGGGCCACTTTCCCTTCTGCCTCTGCTCCCAGCCCCTCTGATTGCATGGAGTCATGGAATGGTTTGGGTTGGAAAGAATCTTAAAGCCCATCCAGTGCCACTCCCTGCCATGGGCAGGGACACCTTCCACCAGCCCAGGGTGCTCCAAGCTCCATCCAGCCTGGCCTTGGACACTTCCAGGGATCCAGGGACAGCCACAGCTTCTCTGGGCAGCCTGTGCCAGGGCCTCCCCACCCTGCAGACGGTGTTGGGTTGGCAGGAAGGGGCAGCTCTTACTTTTGGGGAGCTCTGAGCCTCCAATGAGGACCTGAGGGACCTCTGGACAGTCTCCCTTGGTCACATCAAGTGCTGTGGAAGGGTGAGGGAAAGCCCTGGCTGCCCACCCACATCTGAGCCACCCCCAAGGCTCTCCTGAAGAAGGGCTGTGATTGTGCCCTCAGCTCCTGGCACGGGAGGGCTGCAGGTCAAGGTGATTCCTGACACCACCGAGTGACTTTGCAGGAGGGAGAAAGCACCTCCGAGTGTCCAAGGGGGTCTTTGGCAGGTTCTGCCAGACTTCCATGAGGCCTGGAATGCTGGGGGGCTGCACACCCTTCCCCTGGATTACTGGGGCTGATGTGCTGAGCTGCCAATTGCTCCCCTGACGTCAATGCCCAGCAGAAAGCCCGAGATGTTAATGGGATATTTGGTCAATAAAGAATTAAAGGATTGGAGCCAAATTAAATTATGGCAATCAGCGAGGCCTGCAGGAAACAGCTCCTGTCAAACAAACCCGATTTTCTTTCCTGGTGAGTGAAGGGTTTAGTTAATCAATGTGATCCATGTCTGTGAGCACAGAGCTGTCAGAGAGAGGGGCCTCTGCCCTGCTCAGGTGAGGGGCTGGCACAGCACACCTGGGAATACCAGCAGGACTGGGGGGTTCAGAGACCTCAAAATGAAGCTGTCAGGGACCATCCTAGAACCACAGAATCCCACACTGGTTTGGGTTGGGAGGGACCTCAAAGCCCATTCGGTGCCACCCCCTGCCACGGGCAGGGACACCTTCCACCAGCCCAGGTTGCCACAAGCCCTGTCCAGACAGGAATGTGCTGCATGAGCTGCCTCCAGCAGAATTAAAAGGCCTTTTTTGTGTTTTCCTGGAGCAATGCTGGGGCAGTTTCATCCCTGGCTCTGCTGTACCAGTGGCTGGAAGCCTCTCCTGGCTCTTATTCCAAGGATCATGCCATGGAATGGGCTGTTTGTGCCTCCAGCAGACCCTCCCCAAAGCCCAGGCAGTGTAAAGCCAAAATGTGCAAATTTAGCATAGAAAAAAAATGCAAATTTGGAACAGCAGGAAAATTCTGTCAACTGTTTTTTTAGATGTCATGGAAGGTGCAGCAGAAAGTTGGATAAATACCACAAAGATAGGAAAAAATGTGTCTGAGGTGAAGACAGACAGATTCAAACCAGTTTTGAACTGGAATGCATTTCACTGAGTTTTATTTTTAAATTAACGTGGAAGTGAGGACTAAACATGGCATTTTGGGGGGGATTCATCTGAACACAGTGTTGGTCTGTGATTGGAGCCAGTCCTGAGATCACCTTCATGGCCACAGACACAAACAGTGATTTTAGGGCAGAATTCAGAGAATCATAGAATGGTTTGGGTTGGAAGTGACTTTGAAGTTTATCCCGTCCCACCCCTGCCATGGGCAGGGACAGGTTCCACTATCCCAGGTTGCTCCAAGCCCCATCCAACCTGGCCTGGGACACTTCCAGGGATGGGGCAACCACAGCTGTAACAGGATCTGTGCATGGACACAAATGTAGCTGGACCCCTTAGATTATCACTGGGATGTTCACGGCACTGGGAACATCTCTGGACTCAAAGGTGGGTTCTTGTCTCTCTGTATCACCTGGAAAGGAGGAAGGGAAAGAGGACCTGCCGTGTGCCCCTTCCCCCGGTCCCAAATAACTCCTCACAGAGTAGGGTCTCGTTACAGCCCAGGAGTCCTCTGTCCTCGCTGCTCCTGCTCACCGTGGGCATTCCCTGGAATGCCTCTGGCACTGCCAGGCCCTGGTGAACACGCCTGGCAGACCAGGGGCCCCGTGTCAGGCACGAGCCTTGCCGGGCAGGAGCACCCTGAGCAGGGTCCTCACGCTGTACACGAGGGGGTTCAGGGCGGCGGGCAGGGCCAGGTACAGGTCTGCCAGCAGGACCCACGCGGGCATGGGCACGGGCACGGCGCTGCCCAAGTGCTGGGCGTAGACGGAGACGATGCCGGGCGGGTAGAAGAGCAGCACCACGCACAGGTGGCACCCGCACGTGCTCAGGGCCCTGCGGTGTGCCCCGCGCCCCGGCACGGCCCGCAGGATGCGGCCGCAGGACGCGGCGACGCAGGCCCCGTCCGCGCCCACGGCGAGGGAGGAGGCGGCCCCGCTGTAGAGCCCGGCGGGCGCGGGGTCGGCGCGGGCCAGCCCGGCCACGGCCCGGTGCTCGCAGCACGAGTGGGGCACCGCGCGCGGGCCGCAGTAGGGCGGGGACGTCACCAGCCCGTCAGGGGCACCATGAAGAGGAGAGCCCTGAGCACGATGGCCAGGCCACGGCCCGGGCGCTCAGGATGCTGTGGTACCTGAGGGCGTGACAGGTGGCCACGTAGTGGTCGAGGGCCATGGCCAGGAGCAATCCCAACTCCGCCGACGTGGCGGAGTGGACGAGGAACATCTGGACGAAGCAGGCCACGGAGCCGATCTCGGCAGAGTTCAGCCACAGCACGCTCAGCAGCCTGGGGACCACGGCCCTCACCATGAGCACGTCAACGGCCGCCAGCGTGGCCAGGAGCCGGTGGCAGGGGGCACGCAGGGACTTGTCCAGCCCAGTGACCAGCAACACCGCCCCGTTTCCTACCAGGGCCATGACATAGGCCGAGCAGAAAAGGACACCCAGGCAGGTGGGGAAAGCTTCCAGGCCAGGGACACCCACCAGGATGAAGGAGGAGGAGTTGCTGTTGGAGGGATCAGAAGCCATGAAGGAGAATCTTGATTTGTGTTTAAAAGCAGACGCTGAGTTTTCAGCCCTGCGGTGGCAGGGGGATAAGGTGGAGACTCGGCAGCAATGCAAGAGACAAATCAGGAATGCACATTGTTGTTAGAACGGGTGAGACAGCGTAACATCACCTTTTCCTCCTGGAAAGGGTGGTGAGGCCTTGGCAGGGGCTGCCCAGGGAGGTTTGGAGTGCCCAGCCCTGGAGGTGTCCCAGGAAGGCCTGGCCGTGGCACTCAGTGCTCTGGGCTGGGGGACAAGGTGGGGATGGGGCACAGGGGGGATCCATGGGCCGGGAGGGCTTTTCCAGCCCCAGTGATCCTGGGATTCTGTGATTCTATGATCACCTGATAGGGGGAATGGGTCAGAAACACTGAATAAATGGGGCTGTTGTGGCTTGGAAGTTGCTACAAGGTGAAGAAGTTCATGTTTCAGGTTGAGCCAGGGATAACCAAGGCACTTTTACAGTCTGTTGCTTGTGAAAGGCTTACTTGCTCACCAGGGCTCAGCTGACATCCCAAAATAAGCTGCAAGATGAGAGAACAAGGAGAGCAAGGTCAGCTTCCAGCCCTGGCTTCCCTCCATGAGCCCGACAGGAATTCCCTCCAGCTCTGTAGGGCAAAAAGTGGTCTCAGACAGTGCCCTGGGCCATTAAATGTGATCATGAAACGGCCTTTCTCTGCTCTGTCTCCATTCTGTCATTCACCTGGGAGAGAAGCCCGCAAGGCCAAGCAGAGGAAAATGCTTTTTTCTGAGGTTTTATTCTGACAGGAGAAGTTTGAAGGTAACACAGAAACTCCAGAGAACAGTCCTGGAGGGACAGGAAGAGTCTGAGTGTGGTGGGCAGGGTCTGCACATTCATTTGTGCTGAAACTTTGCTGCTGCTGCTGCTTCTCCCCACAAAGTGGAAAGGCCAGGCAGGTGCTGACACACCAGCTCCTGCCTGTTGGGAGAAATTCCCTGTGTAATCATCCACCAGGAACTTCTTAGAGAGGAGCAAACTCCTGTTGGCAAGACACAAACTCACCTGGTCTTAGCCTGAACATTTGGGAGTTGTCTTACCTCTGCTCCCATCCTGGGCTGGCTCTGGCTGGTGTCTCCAACCCTCCCCTCCGTAGTCTGGGAGTTACAAGCTTGAAGTTGAACACATTTATACTCCATCAGTACAAAAATCTAAGGTAGGAGAAGGGGGGAGATCCAGAACACTCTGAGGATGCAGCTCAGCAGGACTCTGGTCACCTGCACACCTCTGCAGGTGGAAACCACACCTTGTTCTGGGCTGGTGTGTCCCCTCCAGTTCCCACCCTGGGAACTGGCAGCAGATGTCCACGTGCACCATCAGTGTGTGCTGCCCAGAGGGGTTTTGCTGTGAGAGCTGGTGCCCCTGGACACGCTCTGAGATTCAGGTTTTCCCTGCCCTGGAGCCCTGAATCAGGACAGCCCCACCAGCTGTGGGGCTGCTCCTGCTGGAGCCCAAACCCAAACCACCTCGCTGGACCCCCTCTCTGGACAGGCACCCACCCACAGGGTCCCTGTCCCTGGGTTAGGAAGGAAAACAAGTGACATGTCCCCTCCAGCATCCCCACACACACAGTGTGTGCACCTCCTTCCCCTCCAGCCCTTGGCAAAGGCAACAGTGCTGTGAAAATTGTCCTGTTTTCCAGGGAAAACAGAGACATGGAAGGGTTAAACCAGCCTGTTGGCAGTTTGGGAACGGGATGCAAGTTTCTCAGGCACTGGTCCCCTCTGTTTTCCCCAATATACCAAAGGGCCAGACCTCATCTCTTTTGGATTTCCAGACATTTGACTTCCTTGACCCCTAAATATTTTCATCTCTTCTCCGAGCTGCTTTAAGTCCCCCACAGGACACAAACCAGGAGGCTTTTCAGTCTGGCTGTGGTCAGGGACACAAACCAGGAGGCTTTTCAGCCTGGCTGTGGTCAGGACACAAACCAGGAGGCTTTTCAGTCTGGCTGTGGTCAGGGACACAAACCAGGAGGCTTTTCCTCCTGGCTGTGGTCAGGGACACAAACCAGGAGGCTTTTCAGCCTGGCTGTGGTCAGTGATACAAACCAGGAAGCTTTTCCTCCTGGCTGTGGTCAGGACACAAACCAGGAGGCTTTTCAGCCTGGATCTGGTCAGTGATACAAACCAGGAGGCTTTTCAGCCTGGCTGTGGTCAGGACACAAACCAGGAGGCTTTTCATCCTGGCTTTACTCAGTGACACAAACCAAGAGACATTTCAGCCTGTGTCCAGTCATCTGCGTTGGCCACGGGAGGCCAAATACTGCAAAGCCAACCTTGTGCCAGCGCTGCCCAGACGAGGGTGTTGGTGCAGGTTTGTTGCTCAGAGGGCTCTGTTTGCAGCCCCTCAGCTCCCTGGGCTGTGAACCCACCGCTGGCCCGGGCCACTCCAGCAGCAAACACTTCTGTCCAGAGTTATTTGTCTGAGATCCTGTAAGCCTGTGCTTGGGAAACAGCAGCTCCTCCCTCCCTGCTCCCTGCCTGAGGCATCTGTTCCCCAGATCCCATGTTCTGCTCTGGTCAGTGGTACCTGCACTTCATCCTGGTGACAAAGCTCTCCAGGTTATTAAATAATGCTGCTCAACCAGCATCAGGCTCAGCTTTCCCTGGGTCCTTCTGGTTCACAGGGCTGCTCCAGTCCTGTTTCCTTATGGAATCACAGAAGGTTTGGCTTTGAAGGGATTTTAAGGATCATCTTATTCCGCTCCCTGCCACGGGCAGGGACACCTCCCACCAGCCCAGGTTGCTCCAAGCCCTGTTCAATCTGGCCTTGGACACTTCCAGGGATCCAGGGGCAGCCACAGCTTCTCTGGGCACCCTGTGCCAGGGCCTCCCCACCCTCCCAGCCAGGAATTCCTTCCCAATATCCCATCTAACCCACCCTTCTTCAGGGAGGGTCTCACACACTGGGGTGTTGGTGCCCTGTCCCAGCCCTGTGTGCAGCATCACCCCTGAGTAGCTGCTCCTTCCCCTCCCCTGCTCTGCCCCAGCCCTGCACGGAGCTCTCCTGCCCCAGCCCCCAGGAGCAGTGGCAGCTGCACCAAGGTGCAGAAGAGTCTGTGCTGTTTTGGCTATTTTTGGGGTGTACCTGTGACCACGGGGATGGAACAGCACATTCCAGCTGGTGCTGCTCAGGTGGGACCCTGACACACTCCTGAGCGTTTCCTTTGTGCTTGGTTGGTGTGAAAGGCTGACAGAGTTTTATTTTGTGCAATTACCTAGTTCAGTAATTTGTAAACTGAATATTCCCTGACTCCTGAGGTGGTGCTGCTTCTGTAAACAGTGTTCAAGTCATACCTAAATACCTGCCAAAAAATGTCACCCAGTGTAGATTATCTAATTATAGACCATTGTTTCCGTGTTAAATGTCTTTCAGGTGCTGAAAGGACCATAAATTTTCCCATTAAGTTTGGAAAACACTGGCCTATTTTTTTTTCTTCATTCACAAGAAGTTCCTCCAGAGAGGAGAGGAGCCAATCCTTACCTTTCTGGTGGTGTTTGCATCCTCTTCGTGCACAAGCACGAAGGGGCCAGGCTGGAGCTGCGAGCAGGGCACTGCAGGTCCTCCCAGGTGACAGGGCTGGCAGGTGTCACCCTGTGTCTGCAGCGTGGCTGAGGTGGGTTTAACTGAGGAGGAGCCAGACAATTAGCACTGCTGTAATTAACCCAACCAAGGAAGCCAGCAGAGGTTGCAAGGGTGTGACTGGCAGATCTTGACCACAGTATTCACTAAATCTGGGATGCCTGGAACTGCTGGAGCAGCTCATTAACTCCACCAGAGACAAAGCCCACTTAGATGTATTAGCAATGCTGCACAGCAGCTCTTCTGGGTAGATTCTTTCATATTCCACCTTGATTTGGCTAAAATTTGAACTTGGCTCAGAGCTTGGCACTATCTTTAAAAATACTGGCACAAGACCAGGTTAAATGTAAAACTGTCCCTCCCCAGCTCAGCTGGATGATTGGCCTGGCCCTGCCCGTACCTGCAGCACCTGCAGATACTGATTCTGTCCCACAGGCAACTCCTCAACCTGCCAGAAAGACCTGCAGGGAAATATTTGTGTCTTAAGGAACCTGATTACCCTAATCTGGGACTTCAGGGACTGAATCACCACGGAGGAGAAGCTGCTGCCTGGGAAAAGCCAGGAATAGAAACAGTAAACAACCAAAGCACTTCTCCCACGGCAGGGGTGGTGTCTGTCCCAGCACCCAGAGTGCCAAACACATTCCACAGAGGGGGGATATTTTATCTCTGAGCTGTTGGAGCGAGTCCAGAGGAGGCCATGGAGATGCTCTAAAGGCTGGAGCCCCTCTGCTCTGGAGCCAGGCTGGGAGAGCTGGGGGGGTCACCTGGAGAAGAGAAGGATCCAGGGAGAGCTGAGAGCTCCTTTCAGAGCACAAAGGGGCTCCAAGAGAGCTGGAGAGGGACTGGGGATAAGGGATGGAGGGACAGGACACAGGGAATGGCTTCCCAGTGCCAGAGGGCAGGGTTGGATGGGATATTGGAAGGAATTCCTGGTTGTGAGGGTGGGGAGGCCCTGGCCCAGTTGCCCAGAGAAGCTGTGGCTGTCCCTGGATCCCTGGAAGTGTCCAAGGCCAGGTTGGACGGGGCTTGGAGCAACCTGGGCTGGTGGAAGGTGTCCCTGCCCATGGCAGGGGTGGCACTGGATGGGCTTTGAGGTCCCTCCCAACCCAAACCAAACCAGTCTGGAACTCTATGAACTGCACATGAAAATTGCAGCATGGGGTGGGCCACAAAAATCTACTCCAGACACATCAGTTCTGCAGCTCCTACACGATCCACTTCAAATCTCTCTCATCTCATGAATCTTTCCAAGTTAATGACTTGAGAACTGTAAATAGGAGCTGAAAACAGTGGCACTGGAGCCAGTCCCAGTGAGCAGAACCCAGCCCAGCAGGCTGAGGGTGCTCAGGCCCGGGGTGGCCCGTGCAGGACCTGC